CTGCATGGGTTTCCTTTGCTTTAAAGTAAAGCTCTAAAAGGCAGTTGTGCCTAAAAGCCCTCCGGTCGTTAGGAGCTTGCAAAGGACGTTGTGCGATAGCAGAATGGGGTGTGTGTGTGTCTACACACGTATACGTGCCTGTGTGTGGGAGAGTTTGACAGGTTTTGTGGTGAACGGAATGCTCAAGTTTATGTCAAGTTTATGTATTCATCAATAAGGGGATTTCCCCACAGCCTGGCTGAAGAGCAGGACAAAGGGAGGGGAGACTGAGCGGAGCCATGAGCGAGTGGGACAAAAAGAGCCATCTGCCAAGAGGTGGGGGCCTTCACAAAGGAGGGAAATAGGGCAATTCCCCCACATTCTTCAGCAAGGGGGATAAAGGAGTCAGGTGACCTTAGGTGAGAACAGATGGCGGGAGGCCAGAGTTTGGTATCCGCGGGCCGGGAAGGCTGTAACTTCTGAGTACCTTGGCCAATGGGGAAAAGGAGAGGGCGTCCGTCGGCCGGGAAATTCGGATAAAAGGGGGGCTGCGTCCTCCAGCAATTGGAGAGATCTCACAGGGATATGCCCGGTGGGCTCTCCCTTTATTTGAATAAAGTTTTAGGACTCCTCTGTCTCCTTTCTGGACATTCAGTTCCTGACAGCGAGATTTTCCGCACAGTAGGTGTGTTTACATTGTTTGCTCGCTTGTAGTGATACACTCAAGTTGCTGGAAGCTGCGTTAAGATCCTGGCCTGCATCAGGAGGAGCGTTGCCAGCAGGTTGAGGGAGGGGATCTTGTGCCTCTAGTGAGCTCTGGTGGCGCCGCGCCTGGAGTGTTGGGTGCAGTTCTGGGCTCTCCAGTACAAGAAGAACATTGAGCTTTTAGAGAGGGTGCAGTGTTAAACAATGAAGGTGATTGAGAGACTAGAGCCTGTCTCTATCCTATGAGGAAAGGCTAAGTGAGCTGTGCCTGTTTAGCTTAGAGAAGATAAGACTGAGAGGAGATCTGGTGCATATGGATAAGTACTTGAGGGGAGAATGTAAAGAAGATGGGACCAAACTCTTCTCGGTGGTGGCCAGTGACAGGACGAGGGGTAACGGGTGTAAGCTGAAACACAGGAAGTTCCACCTCCATGTGAGGAAGAACTTCTTTACTGTGAGGGTGACAGAACCCTCAAAAAGGCTGCCCAGAGAGGCTGTGGAGTCTCCTTCTCTGGAGATCTTCCAAACCCGCCTGGATGCCACCCTGTGCTACGTGCTCTGGGTGTCCCTGCTGGAGCAGGGGGGTTGGACTAGATGATCTCTAGAGGTCCCTTCCAACCTCAACCGTTCTGTGATATAGAGGCTTACCGATCACTACACTTTACAATCTCAGGAAAGTTGGTATTACTAAGAAAATGAGTTTTTACTCTTTGGCAAAAGAGACAATCAGTTTTGGTGGCTGAAACTCTGAGTTTGGTGCAACATCCTCAATCTCATAGGAATTAGCAGTACACAGCCTAGATCCATAATGACTGTCCTCAGATGTATACAGACACAAGGCATGATACATGAAAATGTGGATGGTGTAACAGAAAATGATGTTCATAGTCGCATTTTCTGCAATGCCGCCTTCTAAAACCGAGGAGTTAGACATATCTGTGTCACTAGGTGGCAGTACAAGAGCTTCATAGACTAAATTTTGTTTGCAACGTGCTGTTAGCTTTGCAGTATTAGCTAAGAAAACCGAAGTACAGTGTCACTGCAGTATATGACTCTGTCAGTATTTAATAAGTGCTGCACATCTGCATAACTGACCATGCTGAAGCCAAGAGAGACAGCTTGTTTTTATGCCTGCTGTGTAGCTGGTAACTGATAACCTATATTTAAGAGGCTCAAGAGTCCACGGCGGATGCAGAGCTCCTAATCCAGCTGATGTTAAAAGCAAATTAGGCCTGAAAAGGGGATGAAGCTGTCCTGCTGTGAGTAAGGATAGCTGGAGTCCTCTCCTGGCCTTAACTCCTGGCCTTAACTGGAGGTCCAAAGGCTCTTGGACGCCCTGTATTTGTGCGTTTTTCAGAAAAGTGGTTGCCTCACTCCCTTGAATTCTGTTTCTCTTGTCCAGGTTCTCCAGTCACTTTTCAGAATTGCTGATTCTTGCTCTCCTGTAAGGTTTATAAGCACATTAGATAGTGTTTTAAATGCAAACAGGTAATAGATGCAAGCAGGTAATTTTCACCTTTTCTTGCAGTTAAAAGTGTTTGTGTCATTTTCAGGCTTGGGACACAAGTATTTTTGTCTTCTACACTGACTTTTAGGAATTATTTTTCCTTCCATCGTAGTGGAAAAAAAGTGTTTTCATGCTTTTTTTTTTCCCCTTATTTCAGCATTACCCCTTTCAGTGTAAGTCAATGCTATTTTACAAAAGCTTTTTTTTCCTTATTGAAATACAATAGATTAAAAAAAATAGCCCCCAAATCTCTTGTAGTACGAAGAATGGAAAGTTGTCTTGGCCTCTGTCTCATGTCACTATATTAACCGTAGTATTGATTTGGACATGGGGAAATTGTTATGGATGAGCGTTTTGTTATTTGTAGAGCAGTGACAGCAGCGTGTTCCTGTCTTCCCTCCATGTAGTATGATTGTTTGGAGGGCATCTATTCCAGCTGTTTGTTTCACTCACCAGGGCACTTTATGAGAAATCTTATTTTCAAAGAGGTGCTATGTGGCAAAGTCAGTCATATTTATGGAAATATATACAAGTTTGTGCTTTAGTATATAAGTGGCAATATAAAGGAGGGGGACACAACTGGCAGCTTTACTTTAAGAAGTAAATAACTTTTGAGATGTGAATTTTTATTAGAAGCATTGGAGACAAAATTTGGTGTGTGAACCAGGTGCGCAAGTGCTCTCATATGCTGGGCACAGAGCTTCTGTGACTGCTGTGTAACTTCAACTACTGCTACCAGCCCGTTTTCCTCCTGTCTTATTTCAAGCAGTCCTGTGCAGGAGACATGGATGCAGGAATTCTCTCGTTCTCACAAAATTCAAGTTTTGCAGTTCCTAAAACTTGAAGGAAAGAGTTGTCTCTCCTCTGCGTAAGACTGACCCCTGAGTCCACCAAGTAACTTTGTTCTGTGCTTGGGGACTGGTGTTTGACAGGCGCACATACTTTTGAAAGGCAGCTGGGCTGCGATGCCTGTAACTATCTGCCTATCTGTAACTGGCTGTGATGCCTGTAACTACAGGCTATCTGTAAGCTTCATGCTACCTGCTTAGATCATTGCTAAACTTTGTCTTCAAAGCTGATAACAGTAGCTTTCTTCTAGGAAAATGTATATGATCCCTCAAGCCACTTCATTTCTGGAGGTTGTGTGGAGACATAGACTTTCTTGTTTACATATTGCAGAGCCTGCAGCCACACAAACCTCCAGCCATGCTCCTGGCAGATTACATGAAATAAGCTTCAAAAGGCTGGCTGGTGTTTGGGAAATCAAAGGGAGCTTTGGAAGAAGAAGTTTGAGGAACTGGATGGCAGATGTTCTTCCCTTACAGCTTTCTCCTACATTTGCCAGCTCTAGGGTGAGGTGTTAGATATAAACCTGTCACGAGCCATTGCTCAGAGATCACATATGCTTGCTTTTATGGGCAGAAGGGTGATTAAACTCAGTGTCGCAAGCAAAAGATTTTTCAGAGAGTATTTCTGCCTACCTATAGTTTTCTGTAGTGTCAAATGAAGAATTTCTGCCTTTTATCAGGCCACCTTTCTGGGCTGTGACCCTGATAATGACAGCAGTGCAGATTGCTAAGCAGCCTTCTCCCTGAGAAGGAAGAATGTGAAAGTATAGTGCTAAAGAGAGAGGCTATATAGCGTATTCTTCTAGAAAAAGAAATGCCCTTCTTGGAAATGCCCAGTATTATGGTAAATCCTCCACTCCAGGTGCCTAGTTTCAGTGTCTTTTCTCCTGCAGAAATCACTTCTCTCTTTACCTGAATTTTGGTGCTCTTCAGGGTGGAATTTACTAAAGGCTATGAGGAAGGCAGAGAGGAGAAGAGGATGTATCTTTGAAAAGCTGGTTCCTCATTATTACTGAAGTATTTTTGCTAATCTTACCAGGAGGCCAAACAGCCCAG